CAGATCGATAGAGACCCTCAAGGTCTCATCCCTGGCTGCCATCAAGATGGTGAACCCCAGGAATGGAAGGGGAAAGGAAGGGAAGGACAAGGGCGTCGGTCGAGGCTCTCTGGAACTTTGCAAGAGTCTGGCAAAGTTGCCCTCCTTCCTCGTCTTCCTGCTCATCCAGTCGGCCTCCTTGCTGTTGAGGTTTGTCAACCTAAGGGAGTACACGCTGTCGGACTACGAGGTGGACGAGATGGTCCAAGAGGTTTCGGATTTTGTAGAGGGGTTGGAGAACCAAATCCAAGATTCGTGCTCCTCTCTCAACAACAACAACAACAACAACAACAACAACAACAAGCCCAGAAGACGCGATTCGGGTGTCGTCGGTCAGGATAGAGATGCGGGCATGGAATTCCCTTGCCATCATTCCAACGTCGTGGACCATCCCGCTCTCACTTCCTTGTTGGCGCTCAGGGAAGCTTTGGACGCCACTTTGGCTGCCCTGTGATCCGAAGCATCCCCCCTCCCAAGTCCTTTCACCCAAGATCTTTCTCCATCTTGATCTTTCATTTCATTTTTTGTTCCAATTTTTTTTTGGGAGACCTTCTTCTTGACCTCTTAATTAACCTTGTATACCATTCGTTCGCACCTCTCTTGGCTTCCCACCCTTTTCCCTCTCCCTCCGCCTCACCTACTAGGTAAAGGAAGACGAGTTTGGAGCCAAGCAGAATCCTCCCTGCTTTGCCTTTCTGCCCCACTACCTGTTCTGTACTGCTAAGCTAGTCTGTAATTCACCAAGGAAAACGTGCCTTGTCCCTGCTTCCGATCCCGTTCCTACATGATGAACTTTCTCCCCTTTCCTCCCTCCCTCTCTCCCTCTCCCTCTCCCTCCCTCCCCATTTCGAATTTGCGCTGAGATGAGTGTTTGGAAAGAAGCGTTGGTTCACGAGGTGAGGCCCGTCAGTTTCGGGATTCGGTAAAAAAAAATAAAAGTAAAACCAACAAAGTAGAAAAAAAAAAGGGAGGGGGCGAGTGGGGGAGAAATCCCCCATCCCATCTAGGAGGGGTCAACCCGGGACCCAAGTTGAGATTTCCGATTCCCCCAAACCACGTTCGTTCTTCACCCACCATCATCCCAACTCCCTTTCCCCCACCAAACCTTGTCCCCTTTACGTGAACCTCCCTCACCTTCGGATCGCTCCAACTCAGAAAGCAAAAGGACAGGCAAAGGGATGCATCCACCTCTCTGTGTTTGGTCGTTCCACCCAACTCGGTAAAAGCCTGGAAGGAAGATTCCCCCCCCACTTTTGGCCTCCTCAGAAACCCCTTTGGGAGGAAGGGCGAAAAGGGGTTGTTCAAGATTCGAGAGGGGAGAAGGGTTTCGAGGTGTAGGGGAAGTGAAGGAATGAGATCCAAACTACTCTCCCTCTCTCCCCTTCTTAGAACCAGGAGGGGGAGGATCGGATCCATCTCGATGTCGATCCAATTTCGATCTCATTCAACCCAACCTCCTCCTCCTCCTACCAACCTGTTGACAAAGTTTAGGTTCGGATTCTTCAAGATCTTCCAAAGGACTTTCCCCATTCCTTCCGAAACCACTCCTCCTCCCGAGGTCAAAGGCGAGGTCGGGTCTCCGTTGCTGACCTCCTCCTCTTCCTCGGAAACTTCATCTCAAGAGGTCAAACCTACCGACTCTCCGACCTTGCTCGAGAGGGATCAGGAATTGATGAGGAAACTCTTGGACATGCACGGAGGGAGCGCTTCGGTAGGGATCGTGGACGGACAGTACGAAGGTGGAATGGGTCCCGAGACGAGGAAGAACATGTTCAGGGTCATTTGAACCAACCCTCTTCCCCCCTCCACGGCTCTTGCTTGTAAAAACACGAACAACACGCAATCCTCGTAAACCTTTCCCCCCTTCCCCCAAAAAAGTAAAGTAAAAAATACAATTGGACGATCGGGAAGGAAGACGGGCAGGGTCGAGTTCCTAATCGCATCGCCAAACTTCTAGTTCGCTTCTTGTCTCTCTACCCTGAAAGGAAGATGAAAGAGGAAGGTGAGATGAGGGTGGACAGGAGGAGAGGGGGGGGGGGGGGAAAGGGGGGAGAGATCGACTTGCTCAGTAAGCCGAAGCGATGCCGTTCTTCCTGGAATCGCTCGCCGCGTGGACCTCCAGGTGTCTCCCCTTTCCGACGTGGGAGACGGCTTGGACTTCCGCTACGCCTAGGTTGACGTCGATCATGTCGACCTCGTGTTCCCTCGCCTTGAGGGCGTGAAGGAGCTTTGGGTCGTACCCCGTCTCGGCGCTGACGGAGACGGGGAGGAGTTGGTGGTGGATCCTTGGGGCCTCGATGGCTTCCGAAAGGTCGGAACCCCAATCGAGGTTGAGCATGACTTGGGCGACGGAGGAGAAGATCCTGGAACCTCCGCTCCCTCCAAGGGCCAACCGGAAGGATCCGTCTCGGTTCTCGACGATGGTGGGGCAGGTCGAGCTGAGAGGTCTCTTTCCTGGTTCGGGGTAGTTGTAAGGGGAGGGAGCCAGGCCGAAGGCGTTGGCCACGCCTGGGGTCGAGGTGTCGTCCAGCTCGTCGTTCATGATGACGCCAGTCCTGGGGTCCATCACCCTGGATCCGAAGATGAGGTTGACGGTCGAGGTCAGCGCCACCGCCATCCCCTCTCCGTCCACGATCGAGAGGTGCATGGTACCGTGGTCGACCTGGATGTCGAACTTTGGTCCGTAGTATTCCAGAGGGTGGGTCACGTCGTCCGTGATCTTCGGCCGGATCGAATCGGCCTCCTCCAGCGTGGGGATCTCGGCCATCCTCCTCTTGGCCTCCCTTCCCATGAACTCCGGGTCGGCAAGCTCGGTCCTCTGAGCGAACCCGAACTTGAGAGCCTCGACGAACCTGTGAGCGCTGAGGCCCGTCGGTCCCTGGCTCGGAAAGTCAGGGAAGCCCGAGAGGAGGTTGAGGAGCGAGAGGAGGACGGGTCCGCTGGTGGGAGCCTGGGTGGTGAAGACCCTCCTCCCCCTCCAAGAGCCTTGGATGGCAGGTTTGACCAGAGCCCTGTATCCGCTCATGTCCTCCAAGGTCAGGATTCCTCCTTCCTCTCGAACCTTTTCCACCATCGACTCGGCGATGGATCCCTGGTAGAAGACGTCCACCCCTTCCTTGGCGATCCTCTCCAGCGTTCGAGCGTACGACTCCCTCCTGATCGTGTCTCCCTCCTTGACCAGCTCGCCCGTGATCGGGTCCACGAAGATTTCGGCCCACTCGGGCTTGTCCTTCATGAAGCCGCCAAAGTAGGCGAGCCTCCTGGCGAGCTCCTTGGAGACCTTGGCCTCCCTTGCCAGCTTGACCGAAGGCATGACGAGCCTCTCCCATTTCAACCTACCCCACCTCTTGTGAGCCTGCTCGAGACCCCTGAGTTCTCCCGGGACGCCGACGCTGAGGCCTCCGAACTTTGCCTCCTCTGGCCTACCCTTGTACATGGTCTCGTTCGCTGCCGAGGGCGCGGTCTCTCTGAAGTCGATCGTGGTGTGGTTCGCGCAAGAGGTGAGGTTGGAGGTGGTGGTGGTGGTGGTGGAGGGGATGGGGCAGGGATAAGGTGACCTGACGATCATGAAGCCACCGCCACCGATACCCGAGGAGAACATGTTGAGGACTCCGGTGCAGAGGGTGGAAGCGATGGCGGCGTCTACGGCGGAACCTCCCTCCTTGAGCACCTCTACACCCAACTCGCTGCAAACCTTGTTCTCGGTGGCCACCCCTCCTTTCCTACCCTTGGCAAGCAAGGCCGGGTTCAACCTGCCACTCCTATCCCTGCCTGGTTCCAGATGCTGAGGTTTTCCGATGATGGCCTCCTTGATGACGATGGCGATCGAGATGGAAGAGGTGAGGATGATGAGGAGCAGGAGAAGGTACCTCACGATCGTTCTGGTCGACCTCGGTTCTTGGCCGCCATCCTCAACCGGCCACCTGCTTTCCCTCCTCCTCCGCTTGGACTTGACCTTGCCCCCTGACCTCGAAAGGCTGGATGGTGATGAGTTGCCGGAGAGCGAAGGAAGGAGGGGAGTGGTTTCGCTGCAAGGAGGAGGGTCCACCTCGGCGATGGTAGGATCTTTGGCATCCTCCGAAAGGGACCGATTCTCGGAGGTGGAGGAGGACGGCATCGTTTCTCCCTTCCCCTCCCTCCCTTCGAGCCTGACTTTGTGTGATCTGGTCAAGAGATTTGCTCCACGTTCTTCTTCACCAGACTTTCCTTTGTCAGGCTCTTTGTGTGTGTGGAGGTGGTTGATCGAGATGGGGTTTGGATTCTCGTTTCAACTCGTTGCAGAAAGACGAGTTGGAGATGACAAAGGATGATGAACGATGCTGGAGGGTTAGTGGGAGAAGGAGCGAGGGAAGGAGGGGAGACGAAAAGCGAGTCTCTCCTTGAGCACGAGGATGGATGGTGGTGACGGTGATAAGATTTTGGGGCGACTCGGTTCAAACGGATCGCCCTCAGCCTTGGTTGAAACCACGAACGAGGGTTCGAGTCCGGCGATTCATCAGAAGGCGGCTCTCGGTCATCCCCTTCCCTCCATGGTGAGCCGATCGGCGTTGTAAGCTTACCCGTCGCGGTGAAAGGGGTGGGGGAAAGGAGGGGGCCTTATCAGGGAACACCATCAGCTCCAACTGGTCGGCGCTCGCTGCCTCCCTCTTTCTCTCTCACCCATCACAAAAGCCGGTCGCACGGCTTGACCAACACCACCTTTACCTCCCCGTCGGCGGGCCAATTGCAAGGGAGAGCCAGTTTTTCAACCAAGTCCACGCCATCATCAATCAAGCTCGGCAGTGGCACCCCTTTTTTTTTCCTTTCATTTTTTCTGTAGCCCGAGAGCCCCATCCATCTTCCACAGCTTGCACGGCACCTCACCTCAAGGGGATCCGTACTCGACTTGAACTCGGAGCGATGGGGTTGAGACTGGGAGAAAAGCAGAAGACGGGGGAAGAAAGAAAAAAAAAATAGTACTTTGGAGCATCTGGGGTTTGAACCCAGGGCCTCCTACTGATCACTCTTCGTGGTAGGGACACGATCTGATGCGAAGCAGGCGCTCTACCACTGAGCTAAAGCCCCTTGTGTGGCGGGAAGGGACCTGTAATTAAACTATATTCCTAGTAATTGATTAATAAGCTTGGCCCCTCGAATCTCTAGGTTTCTACGATGACCGTCACGCTTGCTACCGCACTTCCATTCCACCATCCTCCCATATTAAGGGGGGGGGGGGGGGGGGGGGTTGGAGGGACACGGTTTCAAAGGGGGTGTGGTTGTAGGTTGGTTCGAAAAGGTGGGAGGGGGGACTTGTTCTGGCTTGGAACGAAAGAGCGCGACGCGTATCCTCTCTGACTCCAGGGATCCCCCGCTTTGTAGTTCCAACTTGGGGGTTCGAACGTTCCGGGTGGAGCTTGGAGAAGGCGAGCGCATCGCGAACTTTGAAGAAAGGAAGAAGAAAAAAAGCCTCGTGACCGTGGTCGAAAGCAAATCTCCCCCCAACCTTGCCCTCTTTCCAAGCGATATGGCCTGTGCTTGGAAGGGGATCTTCTCAAAACTCTGGGGGGTAGGAGGGAGAGAGACGGGGAGATGGCAAGTCACAGAGAAAGGGAAGGGGGAAACGGAGAACCTCTGCAAAGGGCAAGCAAGATGACCTAAAGAATCGTGTATTGCGCCATCCCACCTTGGATTCCCTACCCTCACCTGTCTTGGCCTGAAATCATGGGCTCGGACCAAGCTTTCCAAGCGTCAGGCTTGGGCCTTTCGTCCCAACCCTCCCTCTCTCTCTCTCTCTCCCTCCCTCGAGCCTATCTCGATTCTATTTCTTTGGCTGGGATCCTCTCGCAGCTCACCAAACGCTATCCACTGACCCACCTCTTGGTCCAAGAGGATTCGAATCGCTCATGCATCCATGCATGCATCCGACGTTTAGTCCAGCTTGGGAGGCTCCAAATCCATACGCACGCCAAAAGGGAGAGAGGGTTACGCGCTCTTTTACACCTTGCCTTCACACATTCCAACACGCTTCTCTTTCGTCTCCCTTTCGAGGTGGGTTAGGAAGGATCTTGCACCACACCGCAGTGGTCAAACGTAATCCTGCAGGCAAGATGGAGGCGGGGTTCGAGTCTGACTGTAGATGGGACGAGGCTGTCCAGGAGGGTTTGGCTGATCGTGACCCAATGTCGAGCTTGCCCCTTTCGCTCCTCCCGCGGATTCACCACGCTCTCCCATCCCTCCATCCCTCCCTCCCGTCCCACCGCATCTTGATCGCGCGGGTCGGATTCAGACCTGTTCGGAGTGGGAGCGTCCATCCTGATTCCCTTGTTCTGTACGAACGCGAGGAAAGCCAACCGAGGGTGGAGTCGGTCTGCGTGGGTTCTAGCGCAGCGCCATGAGAGAGGGAGAGAGGGAGAGAGGGAGAGTTGGGCACTCTTTGACCAAACTCGGCTGGACGTTATCGAGATCGCCGCGAAAATAAGAAAAGGGCGGGAGATCGTAGCTACAAGGTGAGGTTGAACTTTGGGATGGATGGTAGTGAGCCAACAAGAAGGGGTCGAGTCGATGGTCGACTTCAGGCTTGAACGAGGCAGAAAGGGGCTTTCGGGGGGGGGGGGGGGGGGGGGGG